GGCGGCTCACTTGATATTAATCGACGACCGCCGCCCATGGCCCATGGACATAGAGCAACAACATACAACGTGTGAGCTTGCAGATGCGTTGAAAACCTTTAAGAAACTGTACAGTAACCACACAGACCAGGCGAAACGTGAAAGTGTAACACTTCTACTTTTTTTTTTATGTGATAAGTTGCCAAACGAGCAGACGGGTCACCTGATGTTAAGTGAAAACCGCCGCCCATGGACATTTGGTACACCCGAGGGTTACAGATGCGTTGACAACCTTTTTAAAATTGGGCTCCGGCTACCTCACTCACCAGACGAAAGCCGAAAGTATTTGTCATACTTCCACTTTAGGCTGGTCTTCTGTGAAGTCGTGGTACTTACCCGGACGGGCCTACCCATTCGCGCAACAGCCGAGGCTTCTGCGTGGCCCTACCACCGTGAAACTACTTCTACTTCACGAATATCTTCTGTCAGGATGGGGTACTTTACCGGACTGGAATGCCCCGCCAATCATTAGTTTTATTCGATTTAATGTTTATATGTGTACAGTGTTAATGTGGAGAAAGTTGAAAGGTTTTTTTTAGTTTTTTTTCTTTAGTAACCTAAAACGTAATCGATATAAATTGTAATATACTTAGATTCAACTAAAACATAAAGCTTTTCCAAAGTTTTAAAATTAAATTTGGAAAAGATGTTTAAGTTTAATGTTGGAAAAAAAATTAAACAAGTAGACGAGGAACGAGTAGATATGCTTATGTAATAGTCACCCACTTGGCGTTTATTAATTTCCCAAATTCTTTTTGCCACTAATTAGCGAGAACATTTTCATTTTGTATCTGTCTTAACATTGCAGCAGCTAAAAGGAATTGAAAGAATTTGCAGAAATTGCTTGTTTCTCCTAAAAATGTACAATTTATTTCAAAAAGATCCACGAAGTTACGATTTTAAGTTAGTATATATATGCGAATTGTTAAGCTATCCGAGCTAACTTAGTCTCACATAAAACTTAGGTCGCACAAGAGCCGGGGGTATCAAAAATGCACCCCTTTCTATCAGCGTAACAACTTAAGCTATCATATGGTCCTTAGAACTGCTTGTTTTACGTGACACACTATGTTGCAGAGCTCCTTGTGCAATTGTGATGAATATAGTACAACAATCACATTTGTAATTAACAATAGTTGAATATGGAAAATAATATACTCACGAGCAGTGTATTTTGCCCCAATATCACCTAATTGTTCCGTACTATTTTCTATAAAAGCGGCAAGACAATCATGTCTGTCATATGGGAGCCCCACTTAAATATATTTTTTTTAGTATTTATTGTTGTATAGCGGCAACAGAAACACATCATCTGTGAAAATTTCAACTATCTATCACGGTTCATGAGATATCGCTTGGTGTCAGAACTTAAGAAGGACAGACAGACAACAGACAGGGGGTCTTAGAGACCTATTGTCTTAGAGTCCCGTTTTTGTTTGGGTACGGAATCCTAAAAAAGGTTTTGTCCTAAAAAATAACTGGCTGAACACACTATCATAATATACGAGAGCTCAATCTCCTGGTTAATTTCCTGGGCAAATTACTTAATTTTATAAACATTTACGGACAATTCAAGAGTACCAAAATCAGTGGTGATTGGTTTCTTCTAAATTCGAGCATATTCCGATCTGTTTCTGTACATTGCGCACATTTAATAATGCTTAACAACCTATGAAAACTATGACAGAATGAATTATCTCTTCATTTCTGACACGTTCTGAGCGTTTGGAATTAGTTTAAGGACATGCGCGGCCCTACCCACAGCGGAGGGCCCAAACCCGTGGGTTCTGGCTAGCCCACCGGTTCTGCGTCAGATGAAGCTTTAATAGTCTCGGGACTGAAAGCAAAAACATCAGTTAATACAAGGAGGCGTTTGGAGTTTCTTAATAAAAATACTTTAATACATTTAAAACCTTCAATCTTTTTAATACAATCATATTTGTTAGAAGTTATATCTAAGTAAAGACATGATATTAAGGACATGATCATTTTTCTAACGTGAAATCATAAACAGTAGCAATTATATGTTAAGTACTGTTTATTGTATAAAGAGGCACTCGGCAAAATAGTTTACAACCAGTGTTAGTTGATGAAAGTAATTTATTACAACAGTTCGCTTGTATCTTAGGTAACCTATTTGATGTAATTGTCATCTTTTCATGCAATAAAAATATCAAATCTCCTACAATATAGACATCAACAATTGTTTTAAAGATGCTTATGAAAAGTATCTCATTTTGTCAATGCCAGTTAAAACTGTTTTTTTTGTTCTAATGTACGTTGAAGGAAATTGTCTATTAATTTTTTATTGCATTAATGAAAAGGTAGAGTGCATAAACCCATTTGCAACACTTCATATTAATAATAGTCGAGGTTCAATCGATCGAAGAGAAGATACAATTTTTCTCATTGCTATTCGATGGAAATTTCCATTACTGTTGTTACATACCTTAACCTAGTAAATTTTTAGAAGCGCAACGAACTTTTAATGTCATAATGCAAAAAATATTCCTTACGAGTTCATACAGTTATAGTAATTTTGAAAGCGTTTCGATATGTAATTATAGCAGCACTCCTATACGTATCTGTATCACAGATAATAAAGGTAAAATACAAAAAAAAAACCGTGCTTAAACGTGTCAGGACACCTTTTCCATAAAAGCTTTTAATAACTTAAACACACACTCATGACACGAGCAAGCGATGCTATCATCGAAAAAATATCTAACAATTAAACCTCTTCTATGAGCCCACTCAGATTAGAATTATCTTACTCATAACAAACTCTTTATTGTCTTTATATTTACACCACGATGTGTGCCATGACTTCTATGCTAATAACGGACCAAACCTATCTTACTTATCTCGCCCAAACCATCAACATTATTCAGTGGGGGCGATACAGTTTTCTCTGTCCCCATTTCAAGTAAACGGAGGTCCAAATCCATCTGTAATAGGCCGGCGATGCTGTCAAACTATGGCCCAGTACTCGCGCCGCATTACATAATATATCTACTTATAGCCGGTGGGCACGTCTAACTAGGTTTAGGTACGAGCACAGGGTACGCGCAAGCAAGGTCGCCTGCCGCCTCAATGGTCACACCGCGTGGATTTGTGTGGATGCGGTTTCGTCCCGCCGTGTCCTTCATTCCGCGATGTTAAGCACCGTGCAGCGAATACAAACCGCGCAGTAATCTATTCGAACTGACCTCAGTTGGGATCAGATTGTCGATGGCTTCGTGCCGCATTAGAAATATTTAACGCGCCTAATGTGTTAGTTCTCAAATTTGAAAGTTGGTTAATTAAGAGGGTAGAGAGAACAAATTACATATTATATTTGATTTATAATCGATGCATAAATAAAAATCGACGGAGGAACTGTAAGCGACATGTGTCATTTGTAAAGTTTCGAAGAATAAAAATAGTGAATATTTTATTTGTTCTTAACATGAATGAAAAAATATAAGATGAGCAATACATGTAGGTGACAAAAGCCTCTCATGCGGTCTATGCCGCAGCTATAGTTTTGTTTATAAATTAGACACGAATCCGTATATCCAGACATAAGAATGTCTGGATATACGTACTACGTAATTTCGTAGCAGGTATTAATGGTATGATTACGAACCGGAATATTATCGTGGTAATCTAATAAATATAAGAGATAATACGCCGCTATAACACAATTTCATAAAAGTGCTTTGAAGTAATGCATTGGCAGATCCGCTCTATTCTAGCGCCTTCAGCCGCGTGTCATTCGAGACTCCGCCATTTTGCAAGGCGAGCCGCCCGTGGCGGGAAAACTGACTTTGGCGCCAATTTCGATGCGGCGACGTCTGCTAGCCTTAGAGTATACGATATCCGGCCGTATACAAACGACAGCTATTAAGTCGTCGCCCGATAAAGCCTCCAACCATCACAATTAAGCAGGATAACCGAAACGTTTGTCTGTCAGCGTAAATTCCTACAATTATTAGGTTTTTATGATGTAGTTCTATTTTGGTCCAAAGGCTGTATAAATAAGTTTCATACCAATGTGAGCGGCGCGTCGAATATTTTTAGTTTAATAAGTAAGAAAATAATAATAGTACAGGACTTTATCGTAAGTTGTAAAATGTAAAATGCGATAAACTTACAAAAAAAGAGCAACCCATTTAAAATGTTACTTAAACCGTGAAGTAGTGTTTGATAAGTAATTATGAATGAAAAACTTTACATCAACATGTTTTTTGAAACAGTTATTTATACCTTGAACTATACAGCGTGTCGTTATCATCGCGACAATAAATGAACACACGTCTAACGCTACTTGCCAATAATCATAAAAAAATATATAAACGTTAAACAAAATCCATAATTAAAAAAAATATTTTTCAAACAAACTAATTAAGTAAAAAAGAAACAAAATTTGTAACATCCTATACAACTCGCGCCACAGCGTCTTATTACAAGACTCCTTCTAACAGTATATTTTGTCTCTTTTAAATTCATTCAACCCATTCATAATGCTTTGTGACCTTTACAAATGAACTTTACGTTACGCTTTTATAGGTAAGGGTGTTCTAAAATTCTTTGTTTTGGAAAATTTAATAACTCTGTAAATATTGAGGTTTAAAGAATTTAAATGTTTAATACAACTTTAAAAAGTTATCCCCTATATGTGTGTTCATTTATTGTCGCGATGGTAACGACACGCTGTATAAGTTGTTTTTAAAAAGTATTGTAGTGTATTGGCATGAACAACACAAATCATCATTTGCTACGTTGTACTGACATAACTTGTCATAAATTTTAGTTAATATAGACAAGTATAGAGAAGAGCATAGACAAGTGAAAGAATCATAACGTTGACTATACACAACTAATTAGTACTGTCGAAGAACTGCTTTTACATGTATTATTACAAAACAAATCCTAAAATATCGGTAAAATCGTATAAGTATGTGGGATGCAATAATTACCTTTGGCAGAACGTGTTGAAGCAGTGCACCAGCTTTCCTTTTGGCGGCCATCTTGAAAATGTCACTGATGATCTCACTTGGTAGTCTTCTCTTTGGTAGCGGTTACAATTATTGTTTTTTTATCTCAATTCCACGACCCCATTGTCTTTAGGTAATTATGTGTTTTCAATTTCTATAAACGTAATATCATCCATTATAGTTTTATTCTTTCATAGTGCGTCCATTCGTTTTTAACCGTTTTGTTGTTACAAACACAAATGGCATTGTTTTGTGTTTAAGTTATAAATCATGGTGATACTGTCCCTCAGTATGTCGGATTTAAATTACTTCAATAATAATAACTTATCGCATACTAGTGGCAAGTTTATCGTGCACGGGTTAAGCCAAACGGCGATTCTTATTGATGAATAAATAAACTTATCACACTCACGGTCTAAAGCCAGTTTCGTCTTATCTATATCGTGCGTTGTTGCGGCAACAGAAAGATTTCAAATGAGCGACGGACGGCGGGCATATCGAACGCAAATATAAAACAACGAGCGAAGCCGGGGGACACCACTAGAGGCGTTGCGTAGGTCAGTCCCATTCAGAATGCGCTTGCAGCGTATTCATTTTCGAAAAGAGGCTACTTTTTGTCGAGGGCGCATCGCCCGTCTCCATCGCACCCCTATTTGCACAATACTTTTCAATGAACACCATTGTTTGCCGGGGACGGCGCTAGGCACGCACTCCCAACTCTATTTATTCGGAATAGAAATGGGGCGATTTGCGAACGAAATTAAGCCCCGTGGACGCTCGGAAAAATCTCCGACGGATCCGTGTGCCGCGGTTCGCCGTTGAAGATACGTTCCGTTCTAGATAATGGTATTACGTGTTACTGTATTCGAAGTATACATATAACATCTGATAACATACTGTATACAGGTAACATATATGTTACGCCTTTCTATCGTCATATATCAATATATTCGAAAATCATCCCATTGTTAACACTTCTAAAGACATTTTCACTGGTATTAATTAGTTTGTTATGCGGAGCTTAAGTTTTAAATTTTAATTTCCTATATTCGTAATTTTCTAAGCGTAAGGACGCAACACATACCCTAATCTTTAATAATTTAAATGGCCACAATACGAAATGGGGACTAATTAAAGCGAAATAAAAAAAAAGAGTTCAACGGAACTGTTAACAGTAGTGGCGTGGTAGAGAGAGAAAAAAACACGCTACCAGGAGCGCAGCGCTACGTCGGAACTTTGAGCAGATTAAATCGCGAAAGGGCCTCTCATTCTCATGCGGTACGCGATAACAGCGACAACGGCCATTTTCCATCCCGGGGCACGGTGTTTCTGTGTTTTTGTGATAGGCGGTAGACGGGATTAAGGGCGGTAACACACTGTGCTAAATTCTTTTTGGACAGTTTTTGCTGTCTATTTTAGACTCATTCCCGTTTGGGGAACAGTCATAAAAAAGAAAACGATGAAAATTTAAACATAGTTATAAACGTTAGGCACTGGCAATAAATGTACTTAGGTATATAGACCTCCTAGACTTAATATTCCTAGATAGTCAAACCGTAAAAAGAATTACTGAAACCACCCGTTTCTGAGAGTTTTTTTTTTTTTTATGGGAATAGGAGGCAAACGAGCACGTGGGTCACCTGGTGATAAGCGATCACCGCAGCCCATGGACATTTGCAACATCGGTTGAGTCGCAATTGCGTTGCCGGCCTTTAAGGAAGGAGAGAGTCTTTATAGTTTCTCAAAGGCCAAAACATCAAAAATCAAAAGCATTATACTTATATTTTATTAAAAGAAACTGTAAACTCGTTTACGGATTTTATCGCGTTTTAATTTTGATTTTATAATTCCCGGTTCGTTTCTGTTTATCATCACTTAATATTCACGGCACCAGACCGAGTTGTTAGTGAAGCAATAGGTTCTTAAAACAAATTATATTGTGTACTCTTGCCAATTGTCACAAAACCTCATCATTTTAAATGAACCCGTGACAAGTAAAACGTAGGAATGCTTAAATAAACACGCGCGCGTCAGTGTGCCGGCGGCCTAAATACGTGTCTATTTTCTAAGCGTCAGAGTCACCCATTCGCTCACATTCCATGGAAGCCATAAAGAGTGCTACCAGGGTAGCAGCACATTCAATGCGATGATACATTAACGTATACACGGGATTTGATTCGCTGCCACTCACTGTTCAGATTGCGGGCGCCCGTTTTAATGGAATCGTCGACATCAAGCCGAAGAGTTAGAGAATTTTCCACGCTATTGTCACGCTAGAAATCTTTAAAATAAATTTGATGAATGTATGTATGAATGTATGTATCATAAAATAAAGATATTAACAAATAAAGATTCATAAATAAAATAATATAATGTATGAGGAGCATAAATACACAGGTAAAGAAAAGGCATCGTCTATATAATTATGTTTTTCGCTTTAAACGTCAAATAGAAGATATAGCATACTATATTCTTAAAACGTTTTATACTACAATTCCAAATTTCAATTCAGACAGCGTTTTGACAAAGAAAGCGTTTGTAACGGTTGGCTACAACGACAGAACTTATTGTGATCTTCAGAATAAGACCCGTGTGACTTGAAAGACACAGGTAATTTAAAAAAAAAACCGCCAAATTACTGTCCAGCCAGTACGGCGACAAACAAAACGGGTCGTAACGGTTGGCGACAACGTAAGGGGGGCTATCGTGAAATTTTAATCAAAATATAACCCTTCCAGGCGGCAACGTGGAGCGCGGTGTGGTGAGGCACAGTTATTACCGTCTACGTAGGTGGAGTTTATGTACGTCGTAGGCTCGGTTCGTGCGCGGTCACTGCACCAAGAGCTATTTTCTTTTTAGCGATAACAGCAAGGTCACCATAATAGCTTCGGCCACGGTGGCCCGTGGCGTTTTTTAATAACTAGTGATGTGACGTTCTCCTATATCGACAAGTTTTGACAGCTAGGTAAAAGTTGCTCGTTCGAGAATTGTATTGTTTCTATGGACTAAGGACTTGTTAATGAGTGTTGGAATGTGACACATTTCAACCAACCAACTTTAATTTAGAATGCTGCAACTCTCCCCGTATTAAATTTGGGAAGAATCGAAATGGTTCATAATCAATTACTATAATTTAGATCATTACTTTTTTTTGAGAGCCTTTTATAAATTCAGCTCTGGCTATAGATCTTTTGTCCGAACTATTAGACTCTATTCAATACTGTAGAGATAACGTCATAAAACATGTATCTTAATCATACCTTTTTTTTTATGTGAAAAGTTGCCAAACGAGCAGACGGTTCACCTGATGTTAAGTGAATATCGCCGCCCATGGACATCTGCTACACTCGAGGGTTCCAGATGTGTTGACAACCTTTTGGAAATAGGGCTCCGGCCACCTCACTCTCCCGACGAAACGCGAAAGTATTATACTTCCACTTTACGCCGGTCTTCTATGAGGTCGTGGTACTTACCCGGACGAGCCTGCCCATTCGTGCAACAGCCGAGGCTGCTGCGTGGCCCTACCATATATAATACATCTTTAAATTAAATATTATATTCAAGTTATAAAACGATAGTAATGAAATTTATAGTTGTAGTGGAGTTGGTTCCGCAGTAAAATAAAAAAATATATATTTAAAAAGTTGGGGAAACAGAATTTGTGCAATGAGTTGTAATGGTTTTATTTGGTTCATAATTTTTTTAAATCACATAATCAAATTGGTATACGAAATTTAAAGTTTAGACACTAAAGCAACATAGGAACGTAGGTAGTCTGTTATCAGCGTTGTAAGGACCGTGAACGATTTGATTAGTTCGACGCGCGCTTGCACTCCGAAATTACTTTCAAACTTGGCTGCTTTCGATACAGCGAACTTCTGCTTAAGTCTGCGAGCCTGGTAGCATGGGTAAATTTGTACTAAAACCACAACGCAAGAATTGAGTAAAATATTAAATTTAACATGAAAAACACCTACTTTAAGCATCTTTACAAATTAAATATATAAGTAGCAATGTCCCGTCATTAAATTAACTGCACTAAAAACAATCGCAAGGACTATTTACGACGCTTTAAACGTATAACCAGGAAATTACCTAATATTACCACTGAGGAGTCTAAGCAACTTGTTTGAGAGACTAATAAATTCACTAAAACAATGACTTGTCTTGCTTCAACTGGCGAGACAAAGGAAACTTAGCTACACGACAGCCTCGTCGATGGACTAATTGCATTTTTTTTTACCGTCACCGCGTACTAATGCCAAGGCTCACTTACTCATCCAAGTTCCTATGACCATTCCTGACTTATGCAAACCCGCGCACGGATAAAAACTAGAATGTCGAGATAACTTCGCGCTCGGCGACAACTTTTCCGAACGTCGGAACGGACGACGCACTATGAAAGAACCTCGTCGAGTGTTATCGAGCAGTGGTGCTTTTACATCAAATCTCTCGCCCGACTTCGGCAAATCGAGTTACGCGAATAAGTTGGCGGCACGGGCGACACACGTCTGCACCTCACGGCTTCCGAACGCACACTGGACGAGGTGCGTTGGGCACACGGCACGCTCGTCCGGCCGCCTGCCCCCATCCGCCCCCCCGGCCCCACACCGAAATGCATCAATGACACTCGAAACACACGCACATTCTGAACGCGGGGGACAATCGATGAAAAAATATCGGTAACGCCTGTAATTTCGCTACAGCCACCGGCCGGCTATGTCCGCCTGGTACTCACGCTAGTAGAATCATATCAAAACCTTCGTTGCCAACTCGAATAAAGTTTTGCGAGCGTCCCACGTGTTTTTGCGAGTGTGATGACACAGATTTTATTTTGGAACGGCAGTCAGAGATTGCTCAGGCTTAGCTCTAACAACGCCCTCAATACAAGATACGTCTTAATTAGGGAAATCAATTTATCCAATGAACAGTTGATTACGATCGGATAATGATGACGTAATTACAGGGGCCACGCACACAAGAGCACCTAACATAACAAGCGGTATATAACGAGCCTGCGCCTGGATGGCATA